CCAATGTACCCGCTTTCGGAGAATAGCCGGTCCACGGCTCGAGTGCTGCAGAGGTTGTCACTCATGAAATCCAAAATCACAATGATCCGCCTACTTTCGGAGATGGCCCGGCCGCAGTCTTGTCCGAGTAATCGCTTTCGGAAAGCTGGCTGCTGGATCGGATCATGGGCCCAGAGCAAAGCAGACCGCATGCTCCCATAACCATTAAACTGAATGGAGAAAGCTTTTTAGTCCAAAAAAACGACCGCCCACATCATCCAAAAACTTACCTGAGGTCTTCTCGTTTCAAATACGTGTTGCACATGCGCTTTACGATCCGGGCGAATGTGCTTCGTGGAATGAGGTTGTCCGTGCTCTTCTGGTACTTCCTGATTTCTCTGAGCGCTATTGTGCCCGGCTTGTACCGCCGCGGCCTCTTCGCAGACTCCCAACGCCTGAGCGCCGCCGATGTTTTCCGGTTGCCTCCAACCACCGCCTTTCCACTGCCTCCCATCGCGAGCTTTTGCTTCCCCTCCCCAGCTGCCGGCTTCCCGATGGCGCCCGTCGGCGGCACTTTCTTTTTTTGGGCACCCCCGGAGCCCTTCTGCTCCGTGGCCCCTGCTGCCTCCGGCTTGCCTGCAAGCGCCGCCGCCCCAGGCACCGGCTTCTTGCCCCCCACCACGGCCCAGACGCTTGATGGCTTCCGACCTGTTGCTTTGCTTCGCGGCTTCTTTCGAGGTTGCTTGCCGGCCGTCAGAAGTTCTCTCGAGGTCTTTCCGAAGCTTGCTACTGCTGCCTTGTGCCTCCTGTGCTGCTCCGCTGGGTCCATATCCCGACCCGGATCTCCCAACATCGACTGCAGCTCCTCCCCTTCTTCTTCCTCATCATCCTCTGCGGGCGCTTCCTCCTCTCGTGCATGTTGCTTGAACGTCATTTCGGCTTGCAGCTCCGATTCGGTGGGCGCATCGGGATCGTCTTCCCCCGCCGCATTCAAGTGTCCGCCTTCCTCTGGATCGTCTTCCTCAGGTTCTGAGTGACCGAGGGGGTTCTCAAATGGAGCATTGTTCCGTGCAATGTCGTCAAGCTGAGCCCGGTATTTTTCTGAGCTCATAATGCGCCGCTCCTTTTGGACTTCTTCCGGAGCCCCTTCCTCTGTCTGCATGGTCTCTGGCAGAGGAGATTGCTCCCCGCTTCGAAGCTCTGCAAATTGTGCTAGATAATGAGCTTCCGCCTCCGCTTTTTTCTTCGGGGACCACTTGTTTTGCGTAGCAAGGGTTTCCACGTATGACAGATAATCCTCTAGTCCCCAGTTAGCATGAAGGCATGTCTCGTCTAGCTCTAGTAGGTCGATTGCAGGTTCAACGGACCCCCTCGGGACTTGCGCTCCCTCCAAGTTACCAACTTCATCCTCTAGTGCGGCCATCTTCTCCGCTTGGTGGCCCCGTTGCAATCTTGGTCGCATGCTGATGCGCGGCCTTTGCAAATGAAGGAAGCGTTGGGAGCTTGCGGCTGATCGGAGGCGGCGCCCTTCAATAAGCGAAAGAGACCACGAAAAATGATGTTGCAAGGCAGACTTTTGACGAACTTGCTTATGGATTGTTCGATTTTAGGGTTTTTAGGGTTTCACACGCTTGGCGAATGTCACGTTCACGCTCTTTTACTTCATTTTCGACGATATAGCTCCTGCAGCCTATGTCGATCGACTCAAGGCTCACAATATCGAAACCGGTCGCAAGTCGACGAACAGCGGGTTCTACACCTACTCTGCAGCCTGCAAGCTATCGAAATCGAACGCGATTTTCGAAATGTCTTGGAGTGACGTTCAAACCCGGCCCATGCACGGCCAAATTTCAGGTTGCTTGCATGGTAGGGTTCAAAGTTGGAAGGCGCTAAAACAGCCGCGAACATACATTGGCGTTGCTTCCACTGCGCTTGATAATGAGAGCAGCTGTCCGGTCTTCAAGCGATGACATTCCAGACGAAGAGGTCAGTGGGCTAGAGGACCCAAACATTTTGTCGGAGCAAGCAAATCTAAATCAGCAGGAAGCGGAGGATTTGGAGGCAGCCGCATATAGCAAGAGATCGCCCTTGGAAAAGGGACCTCTTCTTATGTCAATCCCCTTGCAGATTGTTGAAGAAGTTACGGAAGTCACCAAAGAGGAGGAGGAAGA